ATTAGAAAGAAGATGATACAGATAATATTTGCTCGATTGACTTAAACAAAACATCCCCTTAGAAAATTAAAAAAATTTTTTTGTAACTAATTTATAAATAGTAATTTTATTTTTATAAATATGTTGTAAATTATTCTTATTTCTATCATTGCATGCATTATTCTCTGCCCATATTCATGGCTTCCGCTTAATGTTGTTAAACGGCTCGTTTTGAGCAGATTTTTTAAAACGGCTAACTCAATATTTTCGCCAGAAAATTATTGACTAAGCCTCGAAATTTCGATACTATATGTCTAGACTTTGCTCCTTCTATGAGCAAAATCTTCAGGCTTGCATAAATTTTTTCTGGATAAAAAACTGAGTTAGCCGTTTTTAAAAATTGGCTGAAAACGAGCCGTTTAACAACACTACTTTCGCTATAACCATCATCGCAATAATATTAAAAATCAAATAATAATATTTAATAGAAGCTAAAGTCATACCATATCCGACAAGCTATAGCGGTCATCACGGACACCATGGGATGTATCATGACCGCCCCAGTCATAACTCACGCTGCAGATGTCAAATAACTGTAATCAAAGATGGCAACAAAATATAACCTTCTGATACATGGATATATCTCAGAATTAGTAAATTTTCTCAATGTATCACTTTTATATATATATTATGTTAGCGGCTAATGTGTTTTTTTCCGGTCATATGTTATTGTTTTTTAGCATTTAAAAATCTGATTCTACCAGAATTAGAGCAAGTTTGAAATATCTATCCTATGAATTTCAGACAATTTTGTCAAGAAAACTTTAGAACTCATTATAATTTGTATTAGTTTTTCCAATAGATTTTTTTTTCATATTATAAATTGTAAATGATTTAACAGGTATAATTGGTAAAATTATTATCTAAAATTCCTAAAAATAAGGATTCTAAATATGCCTGGAGGTTTAGTATAAAGTGTGTAAACAGCTCAGAGAATTTTTTTTTATACGACTTACTTATTGTATGAAAATTGAAGATACCAGTGGAGATATACTTATAAATCACTGGAGGTTGTCGTTTAGAAAATTTTCGCGTTTCGCAACTATACAGATTCCTGACAAAATTTGGGCGAAAATTTATACTTTGTCGAATTATTTCGATATTCAAAATAAATACTTTTTAGATCGGAATCAAATAAAAAAAAAATGATTATGCATGTAATATTATTATATTTAAGAAGCCGTGCACATTTCTGGATTGGTCCAAATTAGCCCCGTAAATAAATTTTTTTAAAAGATCTATCCTACCCCGCCAGTAATACGTTTAATCATGGTGATATTTTTTTTTTGGCACGAGTTGGTTTAGGCCTTGCTCATATTTTATTTTTTTTGTGAATAGAAATTGATAAATTTGCACTCTGCACAAATTGCCTAGCCCGAAAGATATTTTGTGCAACAGCTGACTGACCCGAAATTTTTGAACTGAATCATTAAACCGGTATTAGCAACCGTTATTGTTTATCCAACCCGAACCGAACCCGAACCCTAAAAAAAAATTTGTCTCCCTAATATGAACCGAATCTTTAAAAAATGTCGATATACCGGTTTTGAACATTTAGATTGTCTAACTGTTTTAAAGTTTATTATCGATTAATTTTGATTGGTCCATCATATATTATATTTAATAGAATACTAATTATTGGCTACCATAATTTATAGGGTATTATATTTGAATGTGAAAATAATAATAGAATAAACATTACATGGATTTATGCTTCTTTATTAATATTCGAACAAGTTTGTATGAGAATGGATATCCACCCGGTTTAATGGTACAAACCGAAACCGATATTAATGTTTTATAGGAACCGAACCGATATTTAATATGAGGTTAGGATCATTGTATTAATATAATTGTTTTACTACACTGAAATTAAACTTTGAGATCAAATGGTTAGCTACACGCAAAATACTTTGCATGTCAAAAGAGGCAAATAAAAAATTTTAAAAAATGATGACTAAAAAAATGATTTTTCAATTTTATGCTTGTTCTATATTTTTTTTCAGAATTCGTGAAAAATGAAGCAGGTGAAAGATCCAGTGAAATTTGTTTGGCTGACATTGACGCGGTGAACAGCACCTCGGCTGTAAATAATTCGAACATTTGTTGCCTTTCTCGGAATAGAACCGAAGTTCCCGTTGAGCGCTATCCTCGGGTAGAGATGGGAGCGGGGTAAATAGAGATAGCGACGCGACGGACGTCGATAATAATACAGATGTCGAGGTATTCGATCCGAATTTATTAAACCAGCCATTTAACCGTGGCGATAGATAAGGGTCGGAGGAAAGTAGTTGCCGCGTATGGGTCGTAATCGGGAGCCTTACTATTTTAACAATGGCGGAGGAAGCTATAATATACATCGTGGTTAGTATAGACGATGGGGTGACGGATGACAATCCCTGACCATGGACAGGGCCATAGAAGATATTAATTTACCCAAACTTTAAAACACTAAATGACAGAGATGCTAGTTTAAGGAATACATACATTTTTTATCATACTTTATATCATATACGAATGATATAGGTTGTTTATCCATGTGAATACCTCGTTTATTTTAAATTTTTATTTAAAAGAATATTTAATTGTTTTTTTTAAAGATTACTGTTCGAATCTTAAGATTAAAAAAATGCTAAAATTTGACAAAATAATAACTCAAGCAGACATTTCAATTTTTTGTTTTTCGTGATGGATGGGTTCCCTACAATTCTCATTTATTCCACCACTTGATCAAATGCCAACTTTTCTTCTTGCGAAATTAAGGGCCATATTTCGCGAATTTCTTTTTTATCTTAAGGTTTGTTTAAATACTTTTTAAAATGTTTTAAGCCTAGTATATATATATATATCACATTCTGATAACAATGTTTCAGAGGGTGGGGAGGTTATTTTCGGGATATGAACGCGTATTAATTATTAAGTCGTTTTACATCGCTTATTCCAATAATATATTTTTTCCTTCACAGCCATAAATTTTATCCGCTATGAGTCAGTAAGTAGGCTCTTTTTGTTAGATAAAATTTATAAATCTTTACAAAATTAAGCGTTTTATTTTTTGTTGATGGGGGATATGTTAATAAAAAATTACGTTTTAAATAATCTGATTTGTGATGATAAAACCTAGATTATTTTTATGCCATATTAATTTATGATAATGGGGCAAGAATAGAAATTTATTTGTCAAATAGTGTTGTTAAATGGCTCGAATCTTAAAAACGAATACAATACTTTTAAGCCGAAAAAAAAATTATGCAAGTTTGTAGATTTTGGCTCATAGAAGGTAAAAAGGTTTGAATATCCATTAACAAAAATCATGAATCTTGTATTTCTAACTAAAATATTGGGTTAACCAACAACATTATATCCGGCTATAGTCAAACATAATGGGAATTTATCACTTCCGTTTATTGAGTCAATTTTAGCATTTCTAAGTAACGATTAGAACTAATTCTGAAAAATTATTTGTATAATACAAAATTGTATTTTGTTTGAAAAAAAACCGAGTCACGTGTTTTGATATAAAGCTACATAATTTATAAGGGTAAATAAATATAGATTTTAAAAATGGGGTTAAATAAAGAAAATATAATTTAGTATATCTTATTTTATTTAAATTTTTAAAAGAAGTCATATAAATTAATATTATTTAAAAATTAACTAAGACTTCCGTATTATTTTATTTAAATTATTCTTTTTCATTTATATTTTATTCCATTTTCTCCTTTACATTTCCTTTTCTTCTTTTTGTTTATATTATTATTATGTTTCATTCGAGTAGATGATGCTATTTTTACAGCCACTCTCAATTGACCATATTTCCATATGGAACAAATGTAGTAAAGGTTTGGATTTGATATGCTCATTCTTAGCTGTTAGTTAACCTACTAAATAAATGTTACCCTGCTTCGATAGGGTTCTAGCAGTCTTAAATATTAAATAATAGCTAACAAACTGAGTTAAATTTGTAAAAAAAAAAATGGCTGTTTATGACAAAATTTCGATTTCGCATTCAATTTGTAACGGTTATAACGTGCTCGCTTCTCGAAATGTTTTAGATGTATATTTATCATCGATTTGAGATATCGTAGAAGCTGGTTAGGTCAATATTAAAATGATTTTTATTTATTTAACCAAATTTAAATATTTATTCGGTATAAGTAAGACACATTACCCGTAAATTTATATGTATATATTTTCCTCGTGGTAAGTTTTTATTATCAGTGTTTATTGGATCCCTCAAATTGGTAAACACAATAAAGTCAATATTTACGAATTCTACTTTTGCATTGATAAACTATAGATAAAACGTCCGCCCGAGGCAAAATCCCTTCCAAGATTCGCAAATTTAAAACGAGTGTTCAAAGTTAACATCTTTTTTTTGTATATAAATATCAATAATTCATAATTTCTTTCTCACGCGTATTGATAAGAAGAGATTACTGAGAATGATCTAATAAAAGTAAAAAAGAAAAAGTACCCGAGATCATATTCAAAAATGTGTCCTTTATAAGTCTAACTTTAAAATAAATTCAGATGTAATCAGTCTAACGATGTCAAGTTATTTGTTGATAATACTACTGCTTCAAACACTATGCAAGTCAGCATCCGATTTTATATTTATTTTTTTTTATCCCACGTTAATTTATATCATCGCAAACAATCAGAACTTCCTCAATTTTAAAAGTTAGTGAATTTTTAGTTGTGCCGATTTTCAAGGAAAATGGTCGGAGGCCCAGATTAATTTTGGCATGATTTCAATCCGTCTCGTTCGATTGACCAATCTCTTATTTTGAAATACTTTTGACGCCAAAACTTGTAAACTAAATATCACTCTCCCGCTTCCTCATCACCCACAAAAAAAATATATAATTTTTTTTATTTTTATTATGACAACCGAATGAATTGAAAAAAGTCATTTCAAATCACAAATCAATTCTTCTAAGAAACATCAATAAAAAAATATTTTCTAATATTTTCTTTTAAAAATTATTATATAAAATTCAAATATAATAAACGAATAATGGGAAGAAAAAAAAATATATGATGGCGGTAAGATGGAGGCGCCATTAAAATATAGGATTAGAAATGGAATAAAGGATGTGTAATGACGAGTGTTTTGTGAGGGGAATATAAAATTTCATCCCACTATAGGAAATAGGAATTTTTTTTTAGTGAGATTCTAATAAGGGCACATTGTAATATAATATCCGCAATGCTAAATTGATGCGATTTTCTTTATCTTTCGATTTTAAATCTTATTTTCTAGATGATTTGGATGTTGTTTGATTCGAGGGCAAAGATTTGGCATTATTTCCGGTGCTGGCAGAATGAACGAATGGGTTCAACATGCCCATGCTTTCCATGACCTCTTTCCGAAGACCGAATCCCATAAAGTTGGGAGGTAGATTAGGGTGGGCTTGACGATTCAACATCCTATTTGTTTTTTTTTTAATTTTAAAATTTATTTATAATAATGTTTGATGAAATTATTGGAGTAAGCTGAGCATATAATTTATAGGGATGAAAACTCAATAAAATCTACCAAAACCAATTATTGCTAATTTTTTAATCATGACAAATAATTCTTTAAAATATAAAAATTTATTAATATTTTATTGGAAATATTTTAATTTGTCATGATAATTTTTATAACAACTCACTCACTAATTTTGTTAAATTGAATTGATTTTTTTTTTAAAAAAAACAACGTTTTTTAATCTTATTTTTATAAAAAATTTAATTTATTTGAATATTTCAAAAAAGGTTCGTTAAAATAATTTTTATATCAAGTTTTTTTTTGTGTGTTTTGTTTTATATATCCTTCCTTTCCTTAGGGTTTCCGAATTTTAGATGAAACAAAATAAGTAAACGAATTTAAATTTCGATTGGTTAAATAACCTAACTTTGAATATCTCTAAAGTGGCCTAGTCTCAAGCTTTTAGCCTAAAAAAATTGAATTAAGCTTCTAAGTTGCGTCTCGACTTGAAGATTGCATCGAATATTTTTGGATAAAAATAAGGGCTAAGCTGTTTTATAGATGACTAGAGTTAGATAGTTTAACAACACTAGCGTAAACATAAATTCGCGTAAAACATTCCGATAATTTTAAGTGATAAAATATGTAATAGAAAAGAAAAAAAACTTTTCTAACAAGACTTATAAACGCGAAAAACGAAAATTAGAAAGCTAAGTATTCCGAAGATGCCTTGAAGTCTTTGGGCAGTGTTCCCGGTTCCACTTATTTATAAAACTCGCTTCCGTTTAGACCAGTCTATTCCTAACACCCTATTCAGTTTTGTTTCAAGTGTGTAACTAAATAAAATAGCTTCTACTTGCATCCTGGAGGAAGCTAAATAGATGACTAAACAGATTGGTGTAAAGAAATAAGACGAGTCAGGACAATGCTAAAAATAGAATAAAAGCAACGCGGCTTACATATCTCGGTACATCAAGGGGTGCGGCAAATTCATGCTATTTTGTTTGTGGGATAAGCTATTATGGTGGTCGGTAGCGGCGGTATTTTTACTTTTGGCATTGTTGTTACTATTACTTCCGCTATTTTGAGAATTCCCGTTAGTGGCGCTACTGTTATTGGTCGGTTGATTGGATAACTGGTTATTCAGGAGCTGATTATTGAAGGAAGCAGCGTGATTGAATGAGGGATGAGCAAAATTCTGACCCCCCGGAGGGAAAAGGTAATAAGGCGGAGGGGGTCCGCCTGAATTATTATTGGGGCCCCCAAAATAGGAGGTTAAGTTGGTGGCCGGATGGTTATTAAAATTGGAATCGGAAGAAATATTTTGCTGTAACTGTTGCTGCATCTGCTGTTGCTGGTAGAAGTGGTCTAATAGGGAAGTCTCGTAATCAGTGGGATTGTTAAGGCTGCCTAAATTGTTTAGGTTACTTAGATTGTTAAGGTTTTGTAGGTTGTTGAGGGAAGCGGCATTCTGTAGGAGCAAGTTGTTGTGATTCACGCCATTCATGTTTTGGTTAACGAGGTGATTGTTGAGATTACCGAAATTACCCAAGTTGTTCATGAACATTAAGCCATTATTACTGTTATGGTTACTAGGATGATTCGGGTTATTCGGATTGGAGTTGGGATTGTTTGCGCTATTGCCGAAGGGGCCATTGTGAGGAGCATTGCCGGAGTTATTAGGGTTAGCTATATTGCCGCCGCCGACGTTTCCCATGTACTGAGAACCGTTGTGGGCATTGTGACTCCCCAGGGAATTAGAGTGGGCCTGGGGTGGAGGGAAAAATAAACCTGGGGCTAAAAAGTCGGTGAGCAAATAATTGGCATTAGGGTTAGGATTATTATTGTTAATTCTTTTAGGGTTGTTGTTTGTATTCGAGTTATTAAGGGATGGATTCGAATTTTTGGGGTTATCGTTATGTAGCTGGCTCTTCTTTTTAGACGATTGTTTTGAGGATGGTCCGCTTTCCTCCCTTCCGGCTCTATCCTCATCTGTCTCGCCAGTTTGATTGGCTGATTTAGCGGTATCGTCCCTTAGCGGGTCGGTGTCCTTGTGTTTAGTAACGTGTTGCTTTAGACCTGACATTTGGCGATAAGCCTTGGGGCAGTACTTACAGATGTAAGGTTTTTCACCTGGAAAAAAAAATTGGGTGTATAAGTAAAACATATTTGTTAATCAATGTTAAAAGTTGTATTTTTTCCAAAATTATTTCGAAAATTGTCCTCAACCTCTTGATTAAAAGCGCTCTTAACATTAAAACGCGGGAAAGTTCGGTCCGGGGCAAAATGAATCACCCGAGGTTTCAAACTTTTTAATTTTGGACACATTTTAGCGAAATGAGGTAATAGAAAGGGGATTAGAGATCTGAGAACGGCAAAATTTTCAGACCCGACCCGGTTGTAATTGAGAATTTGCCAAACCCGTTTCCAGTTTTTTTTAACTAAGGTTGAAATACAAGTCCTAACCCGAAATAAATTTATAGTTGAACATCAATCAATAACCAATCATAATATTGGGGTTAGGTATTAAAAAAAGAATATTACTAAACTTTATATGGATCATCTTTCTACCCCATCATACATTCAGCCTCATTGTGGCAGGGGAGTGGCGAAGTCTTATTTGGCAGCTAATAGAGGTAGTGTTGTTAAACCGCTCGTTTTGAGGCGATTTTTCAAAAGGGCTAACACAATATTCCAGAAAAATATTGCTTAAGCCTTGATTTCTATAATATGTCTAAACCTTTGTTCCTTCTATGAGCAAAATCTTCAGGCTCGCGTAATATTTTTCTGCATGAAATATTGATTCAGACTGTTTAACAACATTAAATGGAGGTCTAAAAGGCTCCCTGTGGTCTGAGTCTAAAATAGGAGCACCGTCTCCTCGACGGGGTGTAAAAACCACCTAAAGGGGGTTGATGCCAGGAAGGGGATCCGATTGTAAAAACCTTGCTACAAAATTTCCTAAAGATTTAATCAGATGGAAAACTGGCCAACCTGGGTAAACCTGGAAATCGTCATTAAACCGAGAAGAAGATATGAATTATCTTTCTATTAAATATCAAAAAACTCATCAACAATCCAGTCCAATAATTTTTTTGGCCCCGTCCTAACCGGTCAGGAATTACAGTCCTCTAAGAGGGATACCTACAAAAGCATGACTCATGATTCCCTGTCCTTAAAATAAAAAAATTAAATCAAGGCTTAGGGACTACATTTTTTTTTTAAAGAATATAGCATAGAAATAAATAAAAAATGATGAAGTGCACGTAAATCGAGCGTTTACGTTTTGCCGTAATTTTTTAGTTTAAAAAAAACGTAACGCGTCCCTTGTTTAAATTGAGGTTATCTTTTCTTATTAATATCCGTCGATTCAAAATTTTAAATAAGTTTCTAAAAAAAAGGATTTGTCTTTCGAAAATTATATTATCGTCTGCCTTCTTATTTCTTTAATTTTCTAAAATATTCCTTTTTCAGGATTATAAGTAAGTTATTTATATTACAATGCGTATTTTTTTAAAATGGTTGCTAACGCCAAACGATAATTTTAGCAATTTGCACGAGGCCATTTTGAAAGGCTTTATTTGCGCTCGCAACGCAAGCGTTTGAAAGGCTCAATTTGTGAGCACTATTATTCGAAAGGACTTGGAAAGATAAAAAAAAGATACAAACCGGTATGAATCCTTTCGTGCTGAACGACCCCGCTTTTCTGGGTGAACATTTTGTCGCAATAGTTGCAGGTGTAAGGCTTCTCTTTGGTGTGACACCGCTCGTGCTGCTTGAGGTGGGTTTGTTGCATGAATCCTTTGCCGCAAAATTTGCAAGGGAACGGTCTTTCGCTACTCCTTTTTTTTTTAATTTTTTTTAATAAAATAAGTAATATTATATCATCGAGATATCCACCTACAAGAGGCGGAGGTTTTATCCGCCTCGTACAAATTACTAGCGGTTTTCAATTTCAACCGATACCAATGGTCGATAAGTAAATTTACCAGGAAATTATTTTTTTAGGGCTTTCATTGAGCAAACAGGACTAAAAGAAGGGGGTGGGTTAATTTTTTTATTCCCCTCTCCCCTAATCTTTTCTTTTTAATTTTCATAGAGTATAAATGATCAGAGTGAGAATAAAATCTTCAAAAATCAATCTTTTTAGGTAAAATTTGAACAAAAATCTGTTCAAACTAATTAATCGAGTAGGAATAATTCGATTATTCGTTTCGTATTAGTGTTTGAAATTTTGAAATAGGTCTAGTAACTATCTATACAATGTTTTTTGGTTGTACGGGTTCGATATATATCCGACAATAAGAAGTCGCTTTCAGGGTTCGGTTTTTTATCCTAGGTCCGCGATTCAAGAAAAATGATTTAAATGACCCGGTCCGGGTACCCGAATCCGCGAATCTCTAAAAAAATATATAGAACGGGATTAATAAATCCCCTTTTCTAAACCCAAGGTTTAACAAAAAAAAATAATATATATTTTGATTTGAAGATCAACAACATTTGAATGCGCCCAAAATTCAAAATTTGATCAAAAACATCTGTTTGAAGCTTCATTTTTGTGACTTGAAATTCAGAGATCAAAAATATTCGAAGATTTTGAGCAAGATTGCGAAACTTTGTTTTTGGGGAGTATAATATAAAATTCTTCTTTTATTTTTAAGGTGCCCGTTTAATATATCGACCTTGATTGGATAAGTGTTATCCAATTACAAGCATATCTTATTTTTAAACATTAATATATTAAATTCCATATTATATTGTCACATTTATAAAAAAAATCTATTTTGGGCAAGTGGGGGAAATTAATTTAATATAATTTGGTATCGACCTTCCAACTAGTATAGGTAAAAATGATAAGTATCGATCAATCCAACTAGTATCGGTAAAAATGAAAGTACGACCAATCCAAGTAGTATCGGTAAAAATGATAAGTATCGATCAATTCAACTATTATCGGTAAAAATAAGTATCGATCAATCCAACTAGTATCGGTAAAAATTATAAGTATCGAACACCGATCAGAGGTCCGAGGATGAGTTTTCTCAGTATCGGTAAAAATTATAAGTATCGAACACCGATTAGAGGTCCGAGGATGAGTTTTCTCACTCACATAAATCGTTACTTTTTTATTCAAAATTATATATAAAAATAATTTATTTAAAATAATGAATTAATGATGTATCCCTTTCCAAATGCGAAAAAAAAACGGCCGATAATTTTTTTTTTTGTTATTAGGACAAATAAAAATCATATCCCGCGTTCAATAACGTGAAACCTTTTCCGCGAAATGTATTATCGCGAATTTTATGACCTTTTTTTAAAAAGGTAATTTCGTGTTTGCGGTAGAAAGTAATAAATAGATAGAATATTAGCGACATTTACTGCCCTATATAAAGTTATTCCCGCCCGCGCCTTTTTTTGGTATGTTATGTTGATCCTAAGCGGGCCCCATATGAGGTTAGGAAATAGTGATTTTCAGGATTTTTAATCTGCAACGATTTTTTCCTTTGTTGGGGTTTTTTTAAGTTCGCGTTTAAAGTATAAAATTTAGCGTGACTACACGCGATTGGATCATTTTATTTGTTACTTTACCATTCGTGAGAAAATCATTTACTTAAAGATAAAACTAGTGTTGTCAATTAAGATTTTAGTCAAAGAAAAATAGTAAGCACCGAGATTTGAATTCTGCCAGCTGTTAGCAAAATTAGGAATTACGTAATGTTAATTTGGTTTTAATCTTATAGTGCGCACAAATTGAGCGTTTCAAAAGCTGCGTTGCAAGCGCAAATAATGCTTTTCAAATGGCTTCGTGCATATCGGTAAAATTACCGTTTGGCGTTAGCAACCATTTTAAAAAAACCACGCAAATGGTTTGCTTTTTAATTCGTTTTGTAATATTATATAAAATAATGTAATAATAAATAACTTACTTGTAATCCTAAAAAATGAATATTTAAAAAACTATTAAAGAAATAAGAAAGCAGACGATAATATAATTTTCAAAGGCAAATCTTTTTTTTTAAAGAACTTATTTAAAATTTGGAATCGACGGATATTAATTTTTTTTAAAAAAAAGACAAACTCAAATTAAACAAGGGGACGCGTTACGTTTTATTTTAATTTAAAAAATTACGGCTAAACGTAAACGCTCAATTTGTGTGCACTACTAATCGGGCGGTTTTTTAAAAACCCCAATTGGGCTTTTTAACACCACTAGATACAACTCTCCAACAAACTTGAGAAGGTTTGTATCTCAATTACATTAATGATTTCCAAAAAATAAAATAAATTATAATTTTTTACAAAAAAAAAATTAGACTTTGGGGCATAGAGTAATAAAAAAAATTTTCGTAATAAGATGGGTCAGGCTCACTTTTTAATGGATTTCCATTAGTCAAAACTTTTTTAAAAAAAATTAAACCGGCAGTGTCTGGCCAAAAATCTGGGGCAGGATCGGACCGGATGTGAAAATTTTCTTAACGGGGAGGGGTGGGGCTTTGCAGACTTCTAATAAAAATTGCTCCTTCTTTTATTTAACACTTGCGAGAAAAAACTTTATATATTTTTTTTTTAAAAAATTGAAATTATATATTTTCTCGTTTGTTTTACCCAAACTAAAGGGCCTAAAAATATGATAGGGGGTGGTTATAAGGCTAACCTGGGACGCCCTCTAAAAATCGAAGATTTTCGTTTAAAAAAAACAAAAATTTATTGCGAAAAATAATATTAAAAAAACAAAATTTTATATTAAAATAATAATAATAAATAACCCTTGACTTGAAAGATTCGCATTTTTTAAAAAAAAAATAAATTTCGCGATTTTTGAAGGCAATTTTATTAAAAAATTTTCTTGCATGAATTGTTTTGCGAATTTTTTTTTGAAGAAAAAAAAAAAAATTAACAGGCCATTCCAACAAATAAAGATTATTTTTTCTCGAAAGAATAAAGGAAATAAAGAATGGATTATAGAATGGTTGCTATTAATTTTAACTGTAATACATTTAAATTGGATGTTAGCTGTTACCCATAAATTGTGTAATGATTTTAGCAATGATATATCGTCGGTCTAGAATTGGAGTGTTCCAACTCGACATTTTCAAAATTTTTTGAGTTAGAAGTGGGATAATATTTTAAACGTTGACGTTGATTTTCTCATTTTAAACATTTGCGCAAACTCCGATTCTAGACCGACGATATAATATACGCTAGAATAACGCTACCTTCATAACAAAGCATTTGAAAGCGTCGTTGAATGTAAATCAGCTAGACCCGCCATTTTGGTGATCCATATATGTAATTATTTTCATGTTAAAAACTATTAAATTGATAACTTGCTTCCTTAATTATCTCGACGATCAGGCGATTCCTTCAATAAAGTTTGCGACAGACATAGGAATAAATTGGTCTCTCGTTTATTAAAATAATGATTTGGGCAATCAAAATGGCGTCCCCAGCTGTTTTCATTGATGTATACTTTTAATGAATGCTATGTCTAGGTATTATTATTATATGTCATTGGGAAAATGTAACTCTAAACTAGTTAAATTCAAGCATTTTATAAGTTATTGGGAACTAGTTACTTTTTTGAGTTACTTAAATTAGATCGATTGTTTTTTTTAAATAGAATATAACAAACAAGTAACTAAACCCAGTAACATTTTAATGACGTAACCTGTAACTGTAAATAAAAAAGGAACTTTACCAATTCGGCATAACTTATAGCAAATAATCAAGATAACTACTGTCAAATTTTTAGGCCCGGCTGGAAATTTATCATGTCTCAAATCCGATTCAAAAATCCTAGTGTTGCTAAACGGCTCGTTTTGAGCAGATTTTTAAAAATGGCTAAATCAATATTTCATCCAGAAAAAATATTACGCAGGTCTGAAGATTTTGCTCGTAGAAGACACAAAGGCCTAGACATATATTATCGAAATATAGAAGCTTAGGTAATATTTTTTCTGGCTAAAATATTGAGTACTAAAAAAATCCCCATTTTTAAAACCGACCCGGTTTATTATTTTAGTTTCGGCCGGCCCGGATATTCGTCATTGTAAATAATTCAAAGAATTAAATCGGAAGGGGGGGGGGGGGGGTTGGGATGAATTTCAACTGATATATTAACACGATTTTCATATGTTTATCTGACAGGTATAGGATTACCAATTTTTTTCTCTCATATTGTTATTTGCGCGGCAAGCAAATATCATTTACAAAAAAAATAATATAGGAAATGAATATTGATAAAAAAAAAATTAAGGATGTCGTTATAATATTATATCAAAAGAAATTTAGATATCACCCATAAAATCGATTATTATGCCTTTAAATTTTATTAAACATTTGAAGGGAAAACAAATCCTCCGACAGCCATTAAAACATTGGCACCCATCTTCTTCACTTTTTAGCCATATTATTTGCGTTAATTTTGTCAATGATTTGAAAGAAGCACTAGGCATCAGGTTAAATAAAACAATGCTAAAAATCGGAAGTTACTTATAGTGTTGTTAAACGGCGCGTTTTGAGCCGATTTTTTAAAACGGCTAACTCAATATTTTAGCAAGAAAAATATTGCCTGCCTCGAGATTTAAATATTATATGTCTAGTTCTTTGTTCCTTCTATGCGCAAAATCTTCAGGCTTACTTAATATTTTTCTGGGTTAACCGTTTTTAAAAATCGGCTCAAAACGAGCCGTTTAACAACACTAGTTACTAGTCATTATAAAAATTGGTTTAAAAAAAAAGGCGAGGGATCGAAGCATAAGGGGGGGGGGGTAACAATAAACTACGCGATTTGCGTGTCCCTCTATTGGCCGTTTATTTGTCTTAAATATAAGCGATCTGATTCCTTTTTATGAGCGCCATAAGCATCAAAATATGAAAATTCTTAACGAGAAAAAATGATAATAAGCATCAGGATTTGAACATTAAACCGGAAGGAAAGAAGAGGGAAAGCCCTACCGCCCACTATTCGACACAATATTCAAATTTTTTAACCAATCCGATGGAGACTCCTATCATAATAACCCCCGATTGAAAATGTGCTGTTTATAAATCGAACAAAAATTGGGATCTCCCCATAAACCCTTAATATACCCCTCTTGCGTCAAATGAGTAATCCCACCAGAAACCTAATAAAATAAAGGATCATATCATTTATGACCAGGAAAATCGTAGATATGTCTTACCAATTTTGAACAAAAAAACACGTGATATTTCCAAAAAATTTTCAACGAAAATTGGGGAAATCATTACATCGTCACATTATTATTGTCACGGTTAATGTCAATCAATAAAATAAATTATTAGGCAAATTAAATTTAAGTCGTGGAAGACATATTGGATTGGCAATATTTTTTTAAAAAATAATACTTGTGAGTTTTTTCGTGAATAGAAAGAGTGAGTTTCGATTTGAAGCGTTTGCCGCATATTTCACAACACACGCAAGTTCCTCTTCCTTTGGCGGAAAGAGCGATACTATTATTATTGTTGGTTACGTCTGCTTCGTTTCCGGCGTGCTTATGTTGGGGTGAGGGATTTTCGTTCGGTTCCCGTTTAATTATAGGCTGCTGGTGATCGCGGAACAAATCGTTTGATTCGGCCGATGGATGGATGATCCCGGATTCCAAAATATTGGAATGGGGAGGATGAAAGGAAGAATGATGTTGGGTAGTAGTGACGGAATTTAGGAATTCCAACAACGAAAGGGCTTGAATCTGTTGCTGTCTTTCGAAGAGGGTCAATGTAGGAGAGGAATTGACTAAGGATTTGCACAAATCCTCATCTGCAGGATGATCGTTAGGGTTATTATTGCCATTTGCTTTTTTTTAAATATACAAGGATGATTTTTTTTAAAAAAAAATTTTTTTTAATAACCAAGAATGAATGGGTTAAATGTTTTTAAATTATGCAAATTTTATAAATTTAAAAAAAATAAATCAGCTGATTTATCGGCATTCTTATCTGGCGTTTAAGGTAACTATTTAAAACATTAAAAGATGGCTCGGCCAACTGTGATGATAGCCATGAATAAAGAATTATTTTGCTCCCCTTCAAAACACTTTAAATTAATCATAAACGGTTTTAAACCAAATATAATTTGTATTTACCTTCGTTGTTCAAGGAATTAGTCCTCCTATTTAAACTAGATTCGGACCCCTGGAAACCTGAATCGTTGTTCGTGGGGTTATTATAGTCGGCAGAAGGAGTGGGTGGATGTGAATGAATGCTGCGGCTGTAAAGATGGGAATCGTCTGTTTCGGCCATTTCGTTTTCCGAGTCTTCGATATGAGCAGATGATTCTTGTTGGTTCGGGATGGCTATTTTTATTGGAATATCGATATCGGGTAGGTAGAGATCGGACTTGTCAGATCTCGTGTCTTCTATTTGTTTTATTTCTACTTCAGATCGGATATTATCGGTGGATTTAATCGACGGAGATTTTTCTGATCCCTCCTTTTCCTCGTTATTGTCGAAAGTGGTATGCTCACCTAGGGACGATTTAACGAGGGTAGGCGATGCTCCCTTCGTGGAGGCAAATGGGATAAAAGGTACGGAGGCAAAAAAATTTTGCCATAATTCTTTGATAGATGCTTCGTTTAAAGTATGCTGGAGAGCGTTTTGGGCTTTCGGCGTTTTTTCTTTGAGGCTATTATTAATAATATTCGGTACTACGCCTAAAATCTTTTCGTAATTGGCTAAAAAATGTTGGCGGAAAGAAGGATCCTCCTCTAGATTAGGAATATTCCTTAAAATGTCCTCCACAAATGTTTCGGGGTATTCCGGTGTACGCGGGGTCGAGGTTCTTTGTCTTTGGGTGGAATCCAAGGGGTTATAACCGGTGTCGTAGATCGAAATGGGAGTAGGAGTTATTGAACATTTGTCGGACTTGCATTTGCGCTTGCTGCCGCGAACATTATCTTTAATGCGGTTAAAATCGGTTTTAGCGACAGAATGTTCTTGAGTAGATAGCGACTTGTCGTAGTGCTCCTTCAGAACAGCCAATCCTTGCGGAGAATAGTCGAATAAAAACCAAGGAAAATTGAAAGGTAGACCCGGGTATATCGATTTCTGCATTTTTTATTTCATATTATTATTATTTTTTCAGAGGGAAAGAAATAAATTATTTTATTTTTTTTAAAAAAATAGAAAAAAGTGGAAAAAAAAATAAAATAAATTTTTTATATAAATTTTTTTTTAACTTTTTTTTTATTAAAAAAAGCAGAAGATAAAAAAAAAATGTTTTTTTTATATTTTTTTTGATATTCTTTTTTTATAAAAAAATTTCAAGAAAAAAAAATGAAGAAAAAGAGGTGGGGGGGGGGGGGGAGGGAAATAAAAAATTTTTTTTTAATAAAAAAAAAGAATAATGAAATAATCAATAATATAAAAAAATTAAATTTAATAAAATTTTTTTTCTTTTTAAATTTTTATTTCTTTATTTTATATATATTTCTTTCATTTATTTTTTCCTCTATTTTATTATCTTTTACAAATTTTCTAATCTCTTTTTTTCATATAATATTATTTTTTTTCTTATCTTTAATTTGTTTTCATGTTTGAATTTAACCTCTGTTTGTATTCGGTTTTTTTTTGTTAAAATGATATTTTCTCGTTTATTTATCTTTCGTGCACTTTATTTCTTCCTCAATTTTTTTATTTATTTTTATTCTATTTTTATCCCCCAAATGGGTTGGTTTATAGTAGGTCATGTATTCATTCGCCTCCTTAATATAGTCATATATATAATTCTACTTAATAATCTTAAAAAGTATCTTAAATGTATATGCCTCAGAGCCATATTAATTTTTTTAGGCAATATTCAGTTTTGTTCAATGACATAATAATATCTAAATTGACGATGCATGAGTAAAAATGCATTTGAAAGCGGCGTTGAATGCAAATCAGCTGGAGCCGCCATTTTGGTAACCCATATAGCAATTATTCTCATGTTAAAAAACTACTAATAATTTGCTTATTATCTCGATGATCGGCAATTCTTTAATTAAAGTTTGCGTCAGACATGAGAATAAATTGGCCTCTTCTCGTTTAAAAATTTTTGATAATATTATGAGTAACCAAAATGGCACCCCCAGCTGTTTTTCGTCAGTTTAGGTAATAGAATATGTCATTGGCTTTGTTAAACGACTCGATCATTAATAAAGGTTAACCCAGTATAAAAAATGTGGCTCTACGGTTGAGGGTTCAAAGAAAATTAATTTTTTTTTACAGAACGAAATGATAAACCGTAATTGTTATTTGAACCCGACCTTAAGTTCAGGATCCTCAGCATCTTGGGAAAGACTAATTCTAGGAACAGCAAGCCCTTCTACTAAATTTTTTTGAACCCAGTTTTAAGAAAAAACATTTTTTTCCACCTGATCTGTCCCATTCCCATAAAGAAAATGATTTTTTTTTAAAGGCTGTGTTTTAAAACCTGGTGTAAAAAATCGAAAAATAAAAAATTACATTTTCAAAGATTTGTTGTTTTAAATTTCAAATCAAAATTTCGAATTTTCTAGAATTATGTTTAGGACATGTTTTTATTTCATTTTTTTGTAAACAAAATAAATTTTTTTTTATAAAATTTGCTCCTCGAGAAAACTATAAAAAAAATGCGCTAAATTTTATTTTTAAGAGTTAGGTTTAAGCGTAAACCAAGGGGGGTGTGTGGGGGGTTCTTTTTCCTCAGCTAATTGTTAATTTATATAAATATCAATTTAAATATAATTTAAAAAAGATTTTCCACACCCCCATATAAAAAAATGAATTACAAATCATATTTAAACTGAAAGGAAATTTATATAAAAAAAATCAAACGATATTTAAAAGTATAATCCAGTTTAAAGTCTTCAAAAGTGGGACCATAAAAAATATCTAATAAAATTCATGGTGCAAAAAAAAAGCGATCCAAACCCATACCCCCCTCTCCCGTTAGAAAAATCTTGGATATTAGTATCGTTAAACGGCTAGATTTAAGCTTATTTACTAAAAAATTGGCTAACTCAATATTTTAGCCAGAAATATATTGTCCAAGCCTGGAGAATTGGTTAAGAGATGTTTCTTAAGGCTTGCATAATATTTTTCCTAATAAAATAATGAGTTAGCTAAAAAAATTAATTGTATAAATTATTAAAATATATTTATAAAAATACTTCCTATGATTACTTTTTTAAAAAAATATAGAAATCCATTTGGGAATTAATACGATATTAGTTAAAGCAGACGATAAAATGTTTATTTAGAAAAAATTGTTACGCAAAAAACTAATGATAAATTTTTTTTTTTTTGGGGGGGGGGGGGTTGATTATTTGGCTCTGCCATCTTATTATATATTATCCGCCAGAACCCTTGGCGTTAGTTAAAAAAAGGGGTTCAAACAGATGTTCCAGTCCTGGCGAAATTGTGTTTGAGCACAAGTATATAAAATTTATGGTTAGCGCGTTATTTTAATAGCGTTGCGTTACAGCTGATTCAGTTTATTTAAGATAAAGAAAGCTAAAATAGAGATAATTTATTTTATATCACATATAATTTTTTTTTTAATCAACACAATCGCAACTTATACTTTTCAAATTTTATCATAGCGTAATCATCATAACGCTCCATATTTATAAATTTATACATGGGCCAGGCCGTGGTCACTGACATATTTTAAACTCCAATTCTTTTCAAAGCATAATTGTATGCCATCTGATTGGGATATTTAATGGTCACATTTGAGTAGCTTTATTGTTATTATCATCACTGGAACCGTAAAATTGAAAAGCTACATCAGGATATGGATCAGTGCTATCAAAATCTAGCATATCCGATGCTATTGTATTTGGGCATTAATCCTAACGATATTATACAATTACAACAAGTGTTGTCGACTAATCATTAGAATAAAAATGAATAAAATCGCCATCAAAAAAATATCGGCAGCTGACCCAAAGTCCTGGGAATAGGAGTTATACATAATATTGTACGTAATTTTATATAAATTATTTTAAACAAGAAAATGAATTCAGTAAACAGTGCTTAGTTCAATAATTAGAAACTCTTAAAAAAATTTGTGGGACTGGTATTGGCGTCTACAACAACGGAAAGAGAAAAAAAAATGAAACTTACACCAAACCCCTAAGTAAGGTGCTTTATTAGAACTTATTGTTTTCATTCTGTTTGGTAGATGGTTTAAAGGGAAAAAAAGAATTATTGGCAAAAAAAATATATTATCAAAAATTATCATTATGCCAGAAAAGGAGAATATATATGAGTTTTATAACTAATTAATATTCAGTGTCATACTTATTAATATTCTTCGATCAATTTAAGCCAGCCACTAAAAAAAAATTAACCGGATATGACGCTTTAAGCGTAAAGTCATCTAAAGATAAGGAAGCGTTATCCCTGACATTTATGTTGGTAATTAGTGCGTATTTCATATTTTTTTTAAGGCTTCAACCTGTTTGGTAGATAGTTAAAAGGAAAACAATATTGGCAAAAAAAAAAATGTCGGCAAATCCGACTCATTCATCAGGCGCCTGCCGGAGAAAATCCGTTAACATTAAGGCGTTTAAATTTGTATTAGTTTCCTTCAAATTTGAGCTGCCATCTTTTTCAAGAAAACACCCGAGACCAAAGTGATAGTTCTCGGCTAAAAACTTGTTTTAACCGATTTTTTTAACCGGCTAAAAATTGTTGGCTTAAACGGCTAAAAATATAGTAATCACAACAACTATAATGATTATTATACCTACTAAAATATCAATCACTTTTCTCTAATCAATAAAACAAAAATCAGCTGTAATCGAAATAAAAACTATAGGCACGCCTTAGGCTGAGATCTTAAATATCGAACTTTAAATTACGATTCAAAAAATAATTAAGTGTTTTTAACCCGATTGAAAATATTTTTGAATCTTACTATTTCCTATGATCTTGCTTGATGTTACTTGTTCCTTTCAGTTTAGATATCTGTTTAACAAACTATAAATTATATTAGTAAATTTATTTTTTTAAACAAAAAATTCGGGGGTTATGGGGATAGAAAGGGGGGGGGGGTTCAACCCTACCCTTTCACCCTGTCAATTAGAAAGAGTCCCTATTTTAAGAAGGGTTCGAAATCGCTAAATGAGTTGGAGTGAGCTTTAGAGCTATTTTAAAGAATTTCTTTAGAGAATTATGGATCTGGAACTTCCAAAAGGGGACAAAATTATAGTTTCCGAAATATTTCAAAATATAAAGTAGAAAAAAAAAATGTACAAGTATATAGCAATGGAATTTTATTCGCTAAATGTTAATCATATAATGTATTCAATAATGTATTTGGCAATATTAATTTTCGCTGTAATGCTGCATTCGCAATTTTGGCTCTAATATATTATCGTTGATCCTGCATTTAAAGTTAGCAGGAATTCAAGATTTCGCGGTACTCAATCGCTAAAATATATTTTTCGAGGTATTGACGTGATACGAAATTAAATACATATGGTTTGAGAGAAGGAAGAAAAGGCAAAGATAAGGCTAAAACTACAAAAGGGCGAAAGATTAAAATCTAATCTATAAATTGATATCATTCCCTTCCCCCTCATCTTTATTCAAATTAAAATATTTTAATATTTTAAATAAAAAAAATTTAAATTTATAAAAGAAAATTTTGTTTTTGGCATCATTATTTCTCATATCATAAATGCAAAATAAAAATTATTTTTCCATTCTTTAGTTTCTTTTTAGATTTATTTCTTCCTTTCTTTCTTTTATATTCCATTTTTTGTCAAATCGAATTTATCTAATTTGGAACAGCATGTAAATAGAATCGACCCTCTAATATAATAAAATTTAAGTCATTTTCCTCCCCATTCTCCGGGAGAAATCTCAGTTATACATCTATTGAAAGGAAATTTTAAAGTGAATTTTAAGAACAAAACGATACGTCAACGAGCGGCGAGTCAAATTTTTAAGAAATAAGGGGTGGGAGGGTGTTTGAGTTTTGCCACAAAGTAGACCTCTAAATTGGATACCATAAAATAATTTTTTTTAAAAAATGTATATTTACACACAACTGTTCCAGATTATTTTAAAAAATTTTTTTA